CTCGGGTGCAGCATGTCTAATGAACAGCTTTATCAAAACCAACGATATATTGAAGGATCATCTTGTCTCCTCACTCACGCGCTCAACCATTCCATCACTCGATGAGTCGCTTGCCGTTCGTCGTGCTGTCATCGCCGCATTGACCCAAGATGAAGGTCAGCTGCGACCGTTCTATTTAATCATCGAGAACTGACATCGTTAGATAAGTTACAAACACTGTTTGAGAACTGCATTAAGACCTTCGGCGACTCCGTCTATGTCAAGCATACACCCGTTTTGCAGCAGGAAGGTTAGTACTCCCAAATTGTTTGCAAAGTCAAGCTCATGATCAGTAGCTCTTGCTCAGACATTGACATTGTGTTGTGGCTATGTACAACGATCTCAACCCATGTTCGTGACTATGATGGCCAAGTCAACATACCAAGTCAACGGCATGTCAAATCGGATTGGAGCGGCATCGCCTCGTGCTCGATTCCTCGGAATAGCTGTTGGTACGGTGGTCTCGAAGATGGTTGACAAGCCTGAATTGCAGCTGAAGATTGAGCTCGATGGGAGTGAAGCTACAGAGGCAAAGTGGTACGAACAACTAACGAAAGTAGACGACAAGATTGGAACCGTATCGAATCTTCACAAGAAGCGCACAACTGTAGTTGCCAAGAATTCGCCAGCCTCAAAGCCGAAGCCAAAGCCAAAGCCTAAAGTTTCGAAGACTCCAGCCATCACCGGAGTTCAAGGTCCGCGTGTTATCGAGATTATTTCTGACCCAGAAGATGAAGACGATGACCTAATGGCTTATGGCAAGCCAGACTCGGACCCAGAGGATGAAGACGAAGATCCTACAGCGATCAATCGCTACAAACCTACCGCACCCGTATACATCAGAGACCTTGTAGCCGGCCTACGAGACCAAGAGAATTACGATCGCCACGAGCTTGCCCTGGCTACTGCCGCTTCGCTAATACGACGAAAAGCCAACTTTGGCACTGAAGTCCTAGATCACCTCGAAGATCTCGCCACTGTTTTAACGGGTCTACAAAACGGGTTAGAATTGGAATCGTTCCCGCAGCAAAGGCAACAGGCACTGATTGCTGTTCTTCTCGCCAGGCCAGCACAGATGGCGCAGTGGTTCGCGCGGTCGTTCTTTTCGGGTGACTACAGTCTCACGCAACGTATAGCTATGCTCACCACGCTTGGTTTGGGAGCGCGCGAGCTTGCTGGCATGAAGGACTCATCCACAGAAGATCTCGTCCCGGCAGCGCCCTCCTTCCCAAGCAAGCAACTCCCACCACATCTGCACAAGATGTACACAGAGGACAAGGCCGCCAATCCGGTCTCCAAAATCACTAGCAACATGGCACGAGCAATGCTCTCACCGCTTGCTTCGCACGCAGCCGACACGCTCAGCGGACCCAACATTCTCAAAGTGCGCACCTTTAGTTCACGCATGGAAGTCGAAGCAGCGCGCAAGAAGCCCATACCCAACGCTCTCGCGCAGATAGTCGCAGACAACTTCTTCTTCCCGCTGACAGGTCGCTGGTGGTTGCAGATTCGATCCAGCAGCGACTCGATTTACACATCTACACACCTCCTTCCACCGTTCTTGCAGACACTGTCGCTACTGCTGAATGCATCGGGGCCAAACACACTGGCCTTGCCGCAGATGACGCGTGAGTATTGGGACCTCTTGCTCTCGGTAAGAGGTCTAGCAAGCAACGATAAAGCGGTCCTCGGCGCAATGCTATTTGGGTTTTTGATGCTGCTGGAGACGAATGAGAACAAGGAGAGACTGGCTACGGAGCAGGGTAAGGAGTTGATGGAGACGCAGGCCTGGGTCAAGATGGTATTTGAAGGTCTTGGTGCCGGCAGCGAGGAAGACGAAAGGATTAGGGTGTTGGCGGCTGGCGTTGTGATACGGTGCCAGGAAGTGGTGGAGAAGTATCAGCGGAGGATGGCGGGGGCCTTGATGGATTACTGATGGACTACCCAGCATGCAGAGCGTGCTGTAGAGAGTATGCCGCCAGCAAAAAGTTGCATTGTACATAGAACGCACACGAGCTACGAAGCGTCGAACTGGACACGTTTGGCGCACACACAATAGCAGCTTCGAAAAACCTTGCAGGAACAAGTACTCACGTACATTTGTTCATTTCTCAAATCGCATCACCGACGATCTCCTTCCTCAACGCCCTGCACACGGCAGCAGCATCAATGAAAAAGCGCTTTTTGAAAGCAGTCCAGCAAAAATTGCCCCTGTGGCGTCCCCGAAGGAAAGCCATACCCCAACCAGTCCGCGCTGTGCAATGCAGCTGATCAAGATAGATGAACCGAAAACTTGAGCTCAGTCATCCAAAGAAGGTAAGTATGATTCTTTGAGATGGGGCGACCGAAGGACGGTTTATATATGCGGTGTGCGTGGCCTGTGCTGCTAGCGCGCCGGCAAGGCAGCAATGTCCCGTGACCGGCAGAATTGGAAGTGGCTGGGGGTGCGTGGGCCATGTTATTGGAAGGACCCACTTTTCAAGTGGGACGTGCTGAGTGAGGCAATCAATATATCGGATTTTACGACAGTAATCGACGCCTTTCTGCAAAGTTTCCATGCTGGGAGTAATGCAGAGTGAGTCTGCATCGCTACGAGTATTGTTTTGGAGTAGCTCATTATTGCATTCGATATTTTTGGGCCTGGCTAGAGGCTGCAGACTGTGAAGATGCTCAAAGCGACGCGTCCATGCTGCAAGCTATTCACGAAGGTTTACCAGACAATCACAGCCAAGCTGCCTTAGTCCCCTGCATGGGAGGCACTTGTCTTGGAACCGAAGCTCTGCATTGGTTAGTGGACGCTCTAGTTGACATGAAGTAGACCCCTACCAGTTTTTCTATCACCCCACTCTACACGATGTTGTTCACGATCACCGGCACGTTTGCGCACCAAGTGTTATTCTCATGTCAAGCTACCTGAACATTGGCGTAGGGCATTACTAGAAATTGTTTGCTTACCCCACCAACATCGTGCAAGACCCTGAGGCGTCCTACGACAACGTGTGAGTAAATGGTTAAGAGTATAGATAGGTACCATTGGTAATCGAATGGTCGCCAGCTCCAAACTCCTCCACAAAACTATTCTCTCTTGCCCTAGTCACCCCGCAAAGTGACAGCTTCTCGGAGAATCTCTGCGCGGCCTACAGCAAACACTCTTTGGGTGTTGGTTTCAGCTACTGAGTCCTTTGAGATAACCCAGAAATAGTCGACCCCGTAAGTCAACCGGTTCCTTTCTCAAAATCACCTGTCTAGCTCTCAAGAACCTCAACATAACGCCTCGGACAACCTCTTCGATCTCCCTACACCATATGGCGCACTGTAAGTTCCTCCACCGAGTCGGCATTTTCTGCCCCAACAATACCCATACTGTACTAGGACTTTAGTCTGTTCGCGCGTGTGCACAGACCATTTCAACAACGCGAACTCTAAAGAGGGGTATCTTCTTCAACTACACACGACTACATCAATATGAGAGCTTTTAGCACTAAAATTTCATCAAATCGAGTGCGCGGAGGTGAATTATCAGAAGCCCAACGGATATACTGCTTAGCCCAGGTTGAGGCTGGTGTGTCGACAAGCGAAGTTGCTGACGCGCTGGACTGCTCGCAGCGGTGCGTACAGAAAACAGTACTCCGATGGACAACCAGCTGCAGCACCACAACGCAGCCTCGGACAGGCCGGCCACCTACATTGACTAGTAAAGACCATCGCCGGCTGCTACGGATTGCTCGGAAAAACCCAGGTATTGAGTACCACAAGCTTATGGAGGAGGCTGGACTGTGGGACGCCAATACTACCTACCCCAGCGTTTCTAAGCGCACTGTGCAGCGCGCAATGGCTGACGAGGGATACCGCAAGTTCAGAGCGAGACGTAGGCCAAAAATCAACAAGAACACAGCTGCGGAACGCCTCAATCTTACTAATGAATGGCTGGGGTTTGATTTTGGGAGGCGTACTATCAGGTTCAGTGACGAGTGCAGCGTTGCTCGTGGATCTGGCCACAACACGCCCTGGGTATGGCGACTACCTGAGGATAAATGGTCGCACGAGATGGTTGAGGAGGTCACCACTGCTCGCCAACCTGCTCGTATGGTATGGGGCTCAATATGGATGACTCCAGGTGGCCGAGCAAGGTGTAGTCGTCTAGTAATTATGAATCGCGACACATCAGCCAAACGCAATGGATACACAGCTCAGAGCTACATACGAGCACTTGAGGAAGGTATCCAGGACAGCTACAGGCCAGGCGAGTGGTTTATGCAGGATAACGCACCTATCCACACTTCCCAGGTCTCGAAGGAGTGGCTAGAGGTTCATGGTGTTGCTACGATCAAATGGCCACCATACTCACCTGACCTTAACCCTATTGAACACATGTGGTGGGCACTTAAAAAGAAGCTCCATGAGCTGCATCCTGAATTTGACTATATGGGAGACTCTCTAGCTGAGTGGGAGGCGTTCGAATTGGGGTTGATTGAGGCATGGGCTGCTATACCTGACGCACTGATCAAACGCCTTATTAGGTCTATGCCACGACGCCTAGAGGCTGTGCGACGTGCAAAGGGCTACCAGACTAGATACTAAGCGTAATGCGATTAATTTGCAACCCTAATTGTCTTATTTGGTCTATGTAGTAGAGAGTTATACTGCTTTGAAGTTGGTAATCAAATGTGGTTGTGGTGGTCCATGCGTCAACGCGAACAGACTTTTGGCACCCGATTGTACCTATTCCCGTACCCCCCCACCCCCCAAACAGAAAAAACCATACTATACCGAAAAAAACTCCCTACACCACCAAAAAAGAATGCATCGGCCGGGAATGAAACAACTCTGCCTTACTCCGAACTTGCAATAAAACCACTACTCTATGCACTCTACAGCCCTAACCTCCTCCTCCCTTCTAACCCCCCCCCCCGGGCGGCAACCAACCAACAAAAAAGACATCTACACCAACGAAAAAGACTTGCATCGGCCGGGAATCGAACCCGGGGCTAGCCGAGACTGGATGGCAACGGCTAATTTTACCACTAAACCACCGATGCTGCTTGTGAAATATGATTTCATGAAAGACTTGCTACCACAATTAATTATATATTCAAAAATACCATATTGTTAGAGGGAAGGGGGTTAAAGGCGTCGGTCTTTGGCACATGCCGTCTTGATATATAGGTTGTGAAGTCTGTAGGGGGACCGGGGGATGTCGACCTCGCTTGTGTACGAGTGTGGGAAATGGCTTTGTGCTTCTGTTTTGAGCACTGTGATAGACAAGAAGGTGCTCAAAGCATTGCTATCTCTCTTTGAAATAAATGTGTAGACCGTATCATGGAACTACTGATGCACACGCGTGTCTTTGATGCTATTGGCTCAAGGCTGATAAATATATCTCGGAAGCTTTAAAACTGAAATCTCTTTGCAGTGTTACGCTTCACAAGTCCAGCTCAGAGCCTCCAGACAATGTTCATTAATGTCGTTGTTGGTAGAGAGACTCCGCGGTTTCCTTGGATACCGGGAAATACTAGTCGTTCGAGGGACCTAATGAGTTCCAAGGTTGTATGTGCAGGGCTCTCGCCGGGTTTGTCGCTCCTCCATGGACGGGGCTTTACCATTCGCAAAATCGTGATTGACTTCGATTTCCGATTTCCATAACGTGCCCGTGCGCAGTGTGCCCGGATTCACAGTGTGCCCCGCAGAACACCACATGCCCAATCTCAAAATGAGGCTGTACAGCGCCACGCAATAGCTTAATATTGATAGAAATATAGTTTTGTAGTAATTAGATGCTTGCGATCAACTTGTACTATCTATATTTTTGTGGGAGATTGACGTTGCCGCCACGTGATGTGACTTTGGCTGGAGTAGCAGATAGCTCATCTCCAGCTTGAACACCAGCGTGAGCAGCGCCAGCGCGTTTTTGACGCTTGTTACTTGGTAAGACTACTCGTGAGGCTTTACGCTTGCGTTGTTGAGCTTGTTGGATAGATTTTTTTTGGTGTTGAGCTTCAACTTTGCGCGCGCGTTCAGCTGCTTTCTCAGCTCTCGCCTGCTCCCTGACGTCCTTGAGCCTCTGCTTTTCCACATGCTTCTCCTCGAGCTCAACTTGACGCTGCAGTTGACCCTCCTCGCGCTGCTTTTTGGCCCGTGCTTTTTGGAGTTTCTCCTCCATCTCATCTCGCTCCCGTACTACTTCTCTAGCTCAAGCTTCACGCAGCTTGCGAGGAGACCAGTGGACCGCGCTACCGTGATACTCCTGGCGCTGTGGAAGGTCAAGAGCTTTGCCCTTCTTCTTGTGCTTCTTTTTGTGTTGAAGAGCCTCCTTTAAGCCCTCATTCTCATGCTTTAAAAGCTCATTCTGCACAGAGAGATGGTGAACGCTTGAATGCAGCTTTTTTGACTCAGTCTGTTCGGTATCCTTTACAACAGCTCGAACTGATCGATCCATCTTTCTCCAATCATTGTCAGAGAGCCCTGATGATGAGCTTCTCACAGCTTCTGGCGTGCTGGCAAATCTACGAAGGATAACGTTGGCATCCATCGGCCAGATCCCAGTAGCTTCCAAGGCCTTCAATACGAGGCTCTCCGTGAAGGAGGATATCCAGGCGCTCCAGAAGAGTGGGAAAAAGTCCCCTTTCTTGATTGGAATAAGGCCTTGAGCCTTGTGGGGATGGTTGGTGAGCCCGTTGGAGTAGGCTTGAGAGAGTGGCTTGAACAGCACTACATCGAGCGGCTGGAGCGTGTGAGTTGAATGGGGTGGAAGGACCATGAGAAGGATCCTGTGGCGATCACAGTAGTCGATAAACTCCATCGTGACATGAGATCCATGGCCATCAAGGATAAGTAATCTCCATCTACCTGATCGTTGCTTTGTACAGCGATCAAACACCTGCTCAAGCCAAGCTAGGCCTATGTTATCGTTTGACCAGCCTGTTGGAGATGATGAGACAAAGACCTCATGTTCTCCTGCCTTGATATCCTCTACCCAACTTGATTGTATAGCTCGTTTTGCAGCTGCGTATATGAGGCTTGGAGGCAGCGAGCTCCCATCGGCGCAACAGCAGGCTAGGAGTGTCAGAAACTCGCGTGATCCATCCTGGAGAGATGCTCGAACCTCTTTCTTCTCCCATTGACGCCTGCTGAATATTCTCTTGCTTCTGCCTATCAAGCCAATCAAGAAGCCCTTCTCATCCATATTGTATATATCTCGAGCCTCAAGGTGATATTCAGTGATCTTTTGATGCAGTAGCTCCAAATAGAGACGGTATTTTGACTCAGAATCAGCCAGGTGGCGCGTACGATCCATGGCGGTGGTCCACTTTGAGATGAGATGGATCTCGTGCCGGTTGATGAAGCGAGTAACCCAGCTCTCGCTGAGCTGCTGACGGGCTACTTCTGATGAGAAATTCCTGATTATCTCCCTCGTAGGAGGTAGGCCTTGCTTAGTAAGCTTAGTGATATATCGTACAAGCTCTAAACTCCTGTTCTGGGTTGAGAGCTTGCCTGCTGGCATGCCCAGCATCCCTAGGCCCTGTCACGCCTCTCCATCGCCGCCCCAGAGTTGACCGGTCAAGGCCATGCTTTTCAGCAATTTCCTTCAATGTAAATTGTTCTTCTGAACCTCACGATTTTAGATCCTCGATCGCCTCATCAATCGGAGCCATGGTCGTGGAGTTATCGCGCGTTGGAGTTGTGGTGTTGAGACGCGCGTTGGTGTTCTGCGGGGCACACTGTGAATCCGGGCACACTGCGCACGGGCACGTTACAGTCTTGGCGGGTGTACCGTGTCCGTGCACTCAATGCGCGCCGAACACGAAACGCGTTAAACTTCACACCACCATAACTCAACGCCACGATGTCGCTAGAGGCAGCCCTTTGAGAGATAGATAGATTAAAGCCTGGCGAAAAGATCTGCTATACTGACATTGCCAAAAAGTATGGTGTTGTGCGGTCAACTTTGACGCGTCGGCACAAGGCAATTACAACGCCAATCACTACCCGCATCGCCAACCGACGGAAGCTCAACCCACAACAAGAAATAGAGCTTATCAAGTATATTGAGGAGCCTAATCGTCGATTCTTACCACCTACATGAGAGATGATTCAGAATTTCGCGTCAAAAGCAGCTCAAAATCCCGTCAGTGAGAGCTGGGTTACCAGGTTTATCAACCGGCATTCTATTGATCTGATCTCCAAATACTCAACGGGTATGGATACTGTGCGTCACAACGCTGACTCATATACCAAATATGAGCTATACTTCAACATGTTACGCGATAAGATCGCCGAATATGGTATCAGGAGTGAGGATATCTACAATATGGATGAGAAGGGCTTCATGATCGGAGTGACTGCCAGAACAGAGCACGTGTTCAGCAGACGAATGTGGGAGAAGAAGGAGATCAGAGCATCTACTCAGGATGGTAATCGATCATGGTTGACTATCCTGGCTTGTATATGCGCCGATGGATCAGCTCTGCCGCCAGGCCTCATCTACGATTCAGCCAACAGCACTATCCAGGAGAGCTGGGTAGAGGAAATACGGTCAGGGGAACACTCAGTACTTGTTTCCTCATATCCCTCAGGGTGGACTACCAACGATATAGGCCTTGCCTGGCTTGAACAAGTATTTGATCGCTTCACCAAGACCAAAGCACGAAGAAAATGGCGACTACCTATCCTTGACGGTCACGCTTCTCACCTCTCGTGGGATTTTTTTAGAGTATTGTGATCAGAATCAGATACTCCTGGCTGTTTTTCCTGCTCACTCAACTCACACACTTCAGCCACTTGATGTGGTGATATTCAAACCTCTCTCAACAGCCTACTCAAAAGCACTCACAACTCACCTCCACAACAGCCAAGGACTATCATCTATCAAAAAGAGTGACTTCTTTCCTCTATTCTGGAAGGCGTGGATAGCTACTTTTACTCCTGAGTTGATACTCAGGTCCTTTGCAGCCACGGGTATCTCACCCCTCCGAGCCACCCGAACATCAACTTTTCCAGGTCAGCGAAAGGTCGATTTCCATCGATTTTTCGTTCAAACACGACTCAAATGCCTTCTTAAATCTGTTTCCCAACGTCCTCTCCCCGCTGCAGGCGTTGTGGCAGGCGCGCTGCCCTCTTTTGTCTTTCAGCTCTTCGCTGAGCTGAAATCTCTTCAAAATGGCCCGTGCGCTACTCAGATTTTCACGTTCGGTCGAAGGCCACAACCACCAGCAAGACAAGGAGACAGTTTTGCCACTCCTTGTTCTTGCAATATAAGGGCATCGCCAGGCCTACCGCAAGGCTCTCCACGCGAAGAGCTACGGCGCAATTCGACAGAGCACCGGCTCTCCACACCCACAACGATGAGAGCTGCTTTCAGCTCTCTGAAGACCGACTGTCAGCGTCCCAGACCTGACACAACACGCAAACAAGGCAGCCAGCATGGCCTTAGATTTCACGACCCTTGGGGATAAAGAAGAAGGACAGGCCTGGCTCTGCCTACCTACTACACCTATCTCCTCAGACACAGGCATGGCCAAGCCTAGTACAAAGGCTCTCCTCGCGCAGAGCCACGGCTTCGATTCGGCAGGGCACCGGCTCTCCACACCTACCTACTCTTTCCTTTTCTTTCTCTCACGGCACTAAAATGCCTCTGAACACACACAAGGGTCCCACCCTAATGTACACACACTGCTCAGTCTCCCCAATTGGAAGGGGAGCTGTAGCTCTGAAATGGTAGCAATACCCGCGCAGGCAAGAAATGCTTTCTAAGGTAGTGTGTCAGCACTGTAATTCCATAGCTTAGCACGTCCTATATGCCCTTCGGGAGGCGGTGATGGTGGACTTAATCCCCATCCTATGGACGAAAATCGAATACCAACCAACCAACCAACCCCTCCGAGCCCACTGAACACCAATCTCTTAATTTTTGGGTCTCCTTCACAGAGGCCCCAAAAATCTCAGCAACTGATCTGGCTCACTGCGGCCACTCTGGGAGTACCTCTAGCGTCCGCCTAGGCCCCCCGCGCGACGCGCAAGTGAGCTTAAGAGGATGGCAGAG